TTCAATAGCCAATTCCACGGGCGACGGGTCATCTTTGGCAATGCGAACAATCAACTCCCGTAGGATCCGAAGAGATACCAGCCTCAGCCTGTGCGACGGGCTTGCCAGGTTCACAATTAAGTCTTGAGCAAAGTCTTCCAGAGTGGGATGTTCAAGGTCCGCTGCCTCTGGGAGAGAGGAAATGAAAGCAAGGGCACCCTCCAAAAAGACTGGGAGGCGGGAGAATTTTGTAGCAGTGGCAATGATCGGTTTCAGCAGACTCGAGTCAAGCTCTCCAACTTTGTTGGCGAGTTCGACATAGGTCTTGAAGCCTTGACCAAGGAAAAACACCAGGCCCTTCGTCTGGGCGTTATTGCCTTCAGCCGCACCATCTTGGAACGCTGATAGGAGGTTACCATGCAATTTAGGAACCATCTCGGCCATTGTAGCAGAATCTGCAAACAAAGAGATAGCGGCTGGAAGCTTCACTAGCGCATTCAAGAAGGCTTCATCTTTTGTGGGGTACTCTAAGGAATCAGTGATGCGAGATTTGAAGGCACCTGGGCAGGAAACGTAGCCAGGTTGCGAGGTCTCAGACGTGATGCAACCAGCCTCGTGCAGGCGTAGCAGGGTGAAACAAGTCTCCCACTCCGACTTTTGCCATGATGAGTTGATAAATTTTTGGAAATGCGAAAGAAGCAAGCTCTGGAATCGCTCTGATCCCCACTCTGAGAATGTTGCGCAGAAGAATAGGAAATATTTTGAAAGCTGGCCTGTGGACACCAGGTCCATAATAGGGCGAAGGAAAGGTAGTAACTCGTCCATGGGGGACATATGAAGGGCGTATGCGACGCTTGTAAGGATCTGTGATATCGTTTCTGATGATACATCAGATGTCGACACCTGCTGGAGCAGGGACACTTGGATCTGATGAACGGTCTTCCAGTTTTGGATTCTGACACCCTTGCGAGTTGTCACAATCAGGAAAATTATACGGCAGCACTCCGAGAGATTAGGATTCGGGGTTGATTTTGAGCGATCTTCAATATAACCCTTGACCGTGTCGAGAACGGGTCCGAAGGTATCGGGAGTCGTGGCGTGGACAAGACTGATGAGCAGACCAAATATAACTTCTGCAGGATCATTGTGGTCTTCACTAGTCGGCGGGATCTGACTTAGAACACAATTTAGAATATCCATGCCATTGGAGTGAAGCCCGTTGTTGACTCCCCTGATAGCATCAGAGAACATGGTCATCAATCCTTCCCTGTAGTTATCGGTATCCTTGTTGTCGTCGGCGGCCTTCGAGATATCGTCGAAGAGGAATGAGACGGCAGTCTCGAGGGGTGCTTTGTTTTTGTAATAAACAAGGCCGGCCTTTCTGATAAGGAACGACATCGACTCAGCGGCGAACCTCGCCACAAATGGCTTTTGTCGTTCTTTTCCAAGATATGGAGTCATGATACTCAGCAGCTGTCGCAGGTCCGGTACCAACAGACGAGAAAGGAATTTGAAGATCCATGCAAGACAAGTGAAACTCCATTCAACGACCTCAACGTCGGGATGTGTTGCCGCAACGGACGACACCAGTGTCACCGCTGTAGCAAAATGCTTTTCGAACTTGACGCCCAGATCCCGAGCAAATTGCGCGAGCAAGCTCAATAGCGGCTCCATAGAGAGCTGGTCTCTCTTCTCGATGAATTCCACTAATAAACCCATAATATTTTCTTCATGATACAGAACTTGCGCAAAGCTCTCGGAAAGAGGGTTGACACGCCGTACAAATTGTGTAAAGTTGTCTGAAAGGTTCATCTCGAACCAGTGATCGAGGGCCGCTCGGAAATACGAAGATGTTTCGTCTTCATCTTCGCCGAAACTGGCGCGGCGCACGCGGTGGATCGGGTCGATTTTGAGCTTGGTGATGCGTGATGAAAAGCCCTCGAATCGGTGGTTTTTCGTGGTTTCGGTGCCCGTTTTCAGGCGCCTAACAGGCTTTGATTTTGAGCCTGTCCCCACCATCTTGACGGGTCTGGCGAGCAGCACTGTTCGTGAGAAAGGTACTGGTCACTTTTTTTTGGCTGGTCCGCATGGAATACAAAAAAGTTCTTCGGGGCGGTATTTCTTTATTCCGATACAGATATCTAATTACATCACGTGCTGATAAGATGGCCCAAGCTCCTGCTTTCGAGAACCCGAAGATGTTCTATCCTGCATGTAGTTGATCTCTGGTGGCACCTTTGGACAGTTTGGGTTTTTGGAAGCTCATACTTTTTGAGGTCTTCCGTCTTCCTACTTCCCATTCTTCCACCACATTCTTATCGACTTTCCATCAAAAATATTCAACATCTTCCTGTACCAATTCAACCTACCACCAAGACAGATCCAAAAATGGCTCCCAAATGGTAGGTATCTTCAGGCCTGCCTGTCTTCCAGTCACTAACCAATCCATATATAGTATTGTCATTGGCAGCTTGAACGGTCAGATACGGCCCGCATTCGCCAAGCTAGCTAAGCTACAGCCAAAACAGGATTTCTCCTTTGCGATCATTCTTGGCGACCTCTTCGGTGATGGCTCGACTGAAAATGAGCTCGGGGATATTAACGCCTTGCTGCAGGGGAACATCACCGTGGCATTGCCAACCTACTTCACCCTCGGTAACCGACCACTTCCCCCTCAAGTGGTCGAAAAGATTGAAGCAACTGATGAAGTGTGCCCGAACTTGTTCTTCCTGGGAAAGCGAGGAACCTTGAAGACGACAGATGGTATCCGTATTGTCGCCCTCGGTGGAACCATGGGAGCGGCAGAGGGTAGATCCAAACCCGAGAGCAATGCTAGCGGCAAGTTCCAACCGACTTACAGTGAATCCGATGCTCGCGCACTGTTCGGGATTCACAAAACGGACATTCTTATCACCAACCAATGGCCGAAGGATGTCCGTCTAGGATCTAGCTGCGAGGTCTCTGGGGCTAAGGAGACTGTGCCATCTGAATTTCAATGCATTGCTGACGTCTGCGCGGCTCTGAAACCCCGGTATCACTTTTCTCGGTCAGACGGTGCTTTCTTCGAGCGTGAACCCTTCTTTCACATGCCAACGGAGGAGGGTGTAGATGTCTACCCACTTACTCGGTTCATCTCATTGCCTACTTACGGGTGGTCGAAAAATGCTATTTATGCCTTTACTTTAGACCCAACGGCACCTTTCCCAAGCAGTATCCCCACAGGCTCCACCATTTGCCCTTGGTCGGCGGCGCAAAGCAGGCGCAAAATGCTCCCAAGCCAAAGTGAATCATACCAGCGCTACGCCCCCTCTGACCACGATAGAGACCCGGGACATCAGCGCCGACACAAACAACGCGCCCCTCCCCCAGGCCCAGAGAATTGTTTCTTCTGCCTCTCGAATCCAAACATCGCCACCCATCTCATCACCTCAATCGGCAATGACAGCTACGTCACTACCGCCAAAGGACCTCTTCCCACGACCGACTTCTACCCTTCCCTGGGCTTCCCGGGCCATATGCTCATCATCCCCTTTGAACACTCACCGACCATCGACCTAATCTTCGATCCGGCCGTCCGAGCCTCGACCTTCGCCGAGATGCAACGGTACCGCGAATGCCTGCACCAAATGCTGAACGAGCGATCAGGAGGCAAGCTAGGTGCTGTCACATGGGAAGTCAGCCGCTCAAACGGTATCCACACACATTGGCAATTCCTGCCCATGCCAGTGGAAAAGATCCGCTCCCGGCTTGTGGAAATGGCATTCAAGAAGGAAGCCTCGAACTTGGAATATTCGACGTTCAAGACCGTTCCAAACCCCGAGGAAATCCACAATCACCATATGATCGATTACTTCCGAGTCTTTATTTGGACGCCTAAGTCCAGCAGTGAAGCCCAAAGTGAAGGCGATCGTTGGTCTTCACCTGAGCACAAAGGCGTTTGGAAGACTGAGTCTGGAGAGGAGAACGTTATCATGATGAAAATCCTGCCAGAGAACCGGTTTGATTTGCAATTTGGTCGTCGGGTAATGGGTAAGGTGCTCTATCTGGATGAGCGTATTAACTGGAGGGACTGTGTGCAGATGGACGACGAGGAGACGAAGGATGCAGAGGCATTCAAGGAGGCATTCAAAAAACATGATTTCGCCATGGACATTGAGGAGTGAATTTGAGATCGGCAAGTTTCTTCTTCTTTTCCGGGGCCATAAATGGCAAATGTGTGGTATGGTGATGAATCGATCTTTCGCGGGGAGCATCTTCGGAAAGCTCCCTGTTCGTGTACAATATGATGAAATGTGACCAATGAGTTCAAAATTGAAGCCAAAATTCACAAATTACAGATTTCTCGCGGAACACATATAAAAGATACTCATACTAACGCGTCTTGCCAGGTTGTTGCGGTTAGAAATGGAAAACATCAAGAAAGATGTCTTGACAATGCCCCCGACGAAGAATCCTAGTGATGGCAACCTGTTGGGCTATGGCTTGGATGCTTGGTGGTAAGATGTCTGAGCATCCGATCGCAGCCTAACAGCCCTGGGCCCAGATCGCGATCTCCTCGAGACTAAAGGCCAGATCCACAGATCCCAGCGCGAGGCCAGTCAGATGGCCATACCCTGTTATTTTCATCTACTAGGTATGTCTACATAGTATAACCCAATATAACCCAATCCAACAATTTGGAACCCCTCAAAACTCTGGATATCATCAATTCTATCACGATGAACCAAAGAGTGGGACATTCCCTGTTACGCAAAAACGCGGATTGTCCCAAAACGGCTGCCATACAGGAGTACCGAACGAGTTAGACAAGGCCAACTCGAGAATACAAAAGAGTCTAAGTGAGGGAAATAATAGAAGAAAAGAAAACTCTTTAATTCAAGCCCAAATTTAGCCCGCGTCATGGTATGTGAGTATGTGAGATGAACGAAGACAAACACGGCGAGAATGGTATCAAAAAAAGGGAAGAGAAAAGAAGAAAAGGGTTCTGTTCATGCAACGGCCTCGATCGACGAGGATCATACTCAAAAGTTGCTAGAAGCATTGACGGTAGGCTTTTTACCGCTCTGCAATAGACTCGGAGGTCTAGTGTTGTCGGGCTCGGAAATGGGGATGGTGTTGGCATGGGGGTTATAGGTAGCGTACTCTGAAGGCGAAGGAGCAGAGAAAGCAGGAGGGGGCGAAGAAGGAGCGGGGGAGAAGCCGTGATATGGAGGCTGGGAAGTGTAGGTTGGGGGATACTGGCTAGAGCCGAAAGATGGCTGGCGCTGGAAGCCTGGTGTTGGGGCGGCCGCAGAATGGTCTATGTCCGAGGATGGGGAGAAGGCCATTGGCACCGGGCTGTAGTTGGTGTGCGGCTTGTATGCAGCCACCGGCGAGGGTGCGGTCACGGCGTGGTAGCCATTGCCTGCGCCGTAGGAGCGGTCGTCATAGGAGTCTTGGTATTGTTGCTGGTCGTAAGGGTTGTGGACTCGTTCGCCGACAGGCGATGTCAGGCCCGGAGAGCGCGGGCCGTAGGGGTCGTGGGCTGCGACGCCATAGCTAGCTGCTGGGGCTGGTGACATGCCAGGCGAGCGCCGCCCGTATGGATCTTGAGTGGCAGCCAATGCTGCTGCTGGGCCGGGGGAACGTCTTCCGTATGGATCCTGGGCAGCACCGAGCGCCGGCGGGCCCGGGGATCTTCTCCCATAAGGATCAATGGCTCCTCCAGGGGAAGGCATGCCCGGCGAACGTCGGCCATAGGGATCTTGGACGGGATTCAATGCTGCTCCCGGGCCGGGAGACCGACGTGCACGCGGATCTGTAGGACCAAATCCTCTGTATCCCGCCGCGGCCGCACCCATGGTTGGGTTGGGTGAATAGTCAGAGTAAGCGACACCAGGTGTACCGGCCTGTTTTCGGTCCGGGGGATTCAATGGCTCCATTTCGACGTCGTCCCGATGATTTGGGTCTTCAACATGCTTGTCAACGGCACCGGCCCAAGTAGGCATCTCAGGCAGGGCGTCCTCATTGACATGAGCGGCCGGAGGCTTAGGCGCATCGAAATGTGCAGTCTGCTGCGCGCCGCGGAAGGAGGGCGCGCTCTGTTGCGCGCCCCGATACGAGGGTGGGGCTGGTGGCGCTTGATAGACCGGATTGAGAGCAGGTGGTGGAGGTTGGTGGAAGTCATCAAAGTGTTTAGGCGTTTTGTTCCTGCGCCTGCCTGACGGACAACAACAGCTACAGCAGCACTTGCAACATTGATAGCCGCAACAGAGGCAATTGATGATGCAACCCAATACGGCAAGTAGAACTACCGAACCAACGATGATACCAACGATGACGGGCCACCTTCCGCCAATTAATTAGTATCATGCCAGATCATGTGTAAGTGCGAAGGGAGGCGCAGGAGGAACTCACTTGCAGTACGATTTGGCCATACATTTGTCCCAGCTTGAGAAAGTGTCTGGAACCGACTCGAGATCACTCGCGGTGCCTCGAGCCCATAGTGTAATATTTGCTGGACTCATCTTGGAAATGAATAGTGGATGCGCAATGCGATAGAGGGAATCATCCGATTGCTAACGGCTGCAAAACAGCCTTGGGCGAGATTCTCCGGGCCAACTTGATTGAAACTAGACGCAGTCCAGTGTGAATTGTAGCGCGAATGAGTGAGATGGACAATCGTGCCGGCTCAGAGTTAGCGAGAGGGGCGGGGCGCGCGTCCGAGTATAGCGACAATGGAGTAGAGGCGAAGTCACACAATAGACTCAATATCAACGAGCGGAGATGTACTGAGTACGGACGAAGTAGATGCTAGTTCAAGATGGTGGATCGAACAGGCAGCAAGTTACCAAAATAGAACATTGACGAATAAGAAGCTGGAGAGAGCGTAAGACCCTAGAGAGGGATCCAAGGGACGACTGAAACGATGAGGCGCAGGCTCTCAAAACTGCTGAAACAGCCAAACGGGCACTGCTTTTCTCGCGCGAGAACAGCCTTGAAGAGGAGGGAAGAGTTGAAAGTGTTGAAACACGAGTTCGAAGGAGAACAGGGTTGACAGGCAAAGGGACAACCCCATAGTTCCCCCGCTTTCCGCCTATCACATCCATCAGAGAGACTTGAAACGACAATCCTCATTAATGGATTCTGTCGATCAGTTTAAATTTCTTGAAAAGAGATTTGAAGTTATTTTGAATATTTTTTTCATTCTCATTCTCACAAAGGGAAATCAAACATTTGTGAACTGGTTGTCTCCTCCGATTACCCTTTCCAGACCATTAAAATCTCAGGAAAACACATCCAGAGAGAAATTGCTCGTCAATGACAGACAATTCTCGTTATGTACAGCTGTAAAAGTCACTCTCGATGCAATATTACATCCAGATCCTCCGCACTACCCCAATGACACAGTTCAAAGGGGGATATTATCGGACAATGCATTGAAAATACAAATGCTGCTGGCGAAGAATTCAGCCAGTGAATAGACTGGCGTTGAGCGTCGAGATGCAAATTCGGTACAGCGTGGAATGACGATCAATCCACAGTAGAAAGTCTGTACAAAGAAGGACCAAATAGTGGATTAAAGGGCGATAATGGTGTCAAAAGAATGTTCGGAGAGAAAAGGAGATGCCAAAGTGTCGGCAAGATGCTCGATGAAAATCGTCATTGGGGTATTGTTTTCGCGGGAGAAAAGACCCACGGAAGAAGTATGAGAAAATGGAAATTTGGCGATGATAGGCCGAGGACGTCTTCGAGCGCATTTTCGATTTCGAAGTTGTGAGGTCGTAGATAGACATATGAAATGGGACACTCAGATTCGAATGGGTCATGAGAGTCGATTACCCAGGAAGATCATAGGCGATGGTCATAGAGAGATGTGGCAAGATGCCACGCAAAGGAAATGCTGGAAAAGCAGGAACCCAGGTAAACAGGGTCAGCCAAAGAGAGGACGATACTGAGAGCAGGTATCAAAGAGATGAGGGAAAGGTGAATAGCGCAGGTGATCCAGCACGCCAACACAAATCAGACCTCAGCAAGACTGAGATGGTTGAGAGAAGTTGAGGGTGAAAAGAAAAGAAAAAGCCGCCATAAAGCATCTTGGAATGCATCAGCCAAACACCACGCTCCAAGGACAAGACGAAGAAAGAAAAAAAAAGCATAAGATGCAAGAAAATGCAACGCGCCCAAAAAGAAAAGGTGCTAGGGAGTCGATTCAGTAGGAAAGCATTCGGCGGCCGGGGGTCCGGGCAGGGACTGGGCTTTGAGAAAATGGAGAGCTTAGATAGCGGTTTCGCTCGTTGTCGCCAAGTCGGCAACGTCCAGTTGGGCTGTCTTCCATTCGGGGTGATTGTTCACCAAAGGCAAAAGTCTGGGCGCGGTTCAGCTTGGAGCGCTGTTTGACCTTGCCAAGTCCACGCTCGCAGGCAAATTCGTGCTCCTTCGCACTCATTTCGACATAATTCTGAGGGAAACAGAAGGAGCGGTGTTCAGCGAAGAACGAGCTGTATCCACCATCCAGAATGTACATATCGGGGTATGACAGGTTAGGGTAAGTATCAACATTGATGGCGCGATCCTGGTGACGCAGGTACTTGGCCATGATGGGAGCCCGGTGAGCAGAGTACTCGCAGTGCAAGATAAGCGCAGTGCGGGCCTGGGGGGCACTGAAGAGTTCACCGGCGAGACGCTCCTTGTCGTTATAGTTCAATGCGCCAGTGATGTGACCACCCTCATACTCGTACTCGAAGCGGCAGTCGATGATGAGAATGTTGTCGAACTGGTCATTGAATTTGCCATTCATGACTTCCAGAAGAGTGCTTTTGTCGATGCGAGGTAGAGAGTCCGCGCGATCCTCGGGGATGAAGTGAGGCAGCTTCATGCTGGGCGGACTTGAAATGTCACTGATGGACTGGACGGGTGTATTTGTTGCTACCTTAGCCTCTTTATCGGCAATAACATCTGCTGGGTTCTCAAACATGCTCAATGATCGCCGGCATTGCTTGCGAGGACGCATCAAAGGATGAGACGGTTTGCGGATTGAACTGTGGGCGGGCGAGCCGCTGCTACGGGCATGGTGAAGTGATGGCCGCATACGAGGGGGCGCCAGATGAGTTGAAGAATTGTTGCGCGAGATTGGACGCTCACGGGGAGGCGAGTCCCCAAACATATCCTCCAGAGAAGTGGAGGTGCTGAGAGATGTCTTGGCTCCAGTTCCAAATCGGAAGGGAGGTGCTTTACTCTCCGGTGCAGGCCGGGTCAGCCCAAGTTGGTAAGACTGAGCCTTACTCCTGGCCAGACTAGGACGCAGGAAAGTGGGCCGCTTCCTCCTGTCAGGTACAAATTCGTTAGCGGAACTGATTTGGGTGGCTGGCTGAACTATCACGTGCACTTACTCAGGTGGACATAGAGGAGACTCCATCGGAGACGCTTGCAGAGGACTTGGGAGCGGAGACACCATAGGTGATTCCATTGGACTACCCCCAGGTGTCGGAGACTGTACCTCGATCTCGGCAGTGACAAAGAACGCTGGCTTGTGAGGCAGTGGAGACATTTCCATAACGTCCATAGCCGGAGCTGGTGAAGATGATGGGAGCGGCGGGGTGGTCATCACATCATCTATATAACGTATCAGTAACTACTCCGCCCTGCCATTCTGAGTGGTCACCGCTTACCACGTCCATTGGCTTGACCGAGCATACTGGCCGTGAACAAAGACCGCCGTGGTGTAGCTAATTGGGGACTAAATATAGAGTTAGCCGGGCTTTGTTCCTTTGAACCTCATGAAACGACCATGGGAATCACCACATACCTTTGATCAATATGGAAGTTCTGAGAAAGATCGGCAGCCAAGCTGGCTGTGGGGGAAGAACCTCGAATGGGTTTCGTGTTGAAGTAGTCCGAACTAGACTTCTTCATAGACAATTCCTTGAAATTGAACGGGTTCCCACCAAACCCGGACATTGAACCCAGTGAATAAGAAGTCGGTGCCTCTGAACGAAAGCAATGACCGAACATGACTGACGGAGGCTGCATAGCAGCGAGAGGTGAAGAGTGCTCCATGGCCGATTGCAACTGGACCAAAAAGCCGACGTTGTACAGTTTTCTGGGAAAGCAACCGGAACAGATGGAAAGGCAATCAGGCCCTGACCACAGGTGTCTACCCAGTACTAGGTCCTACAAACTGAGGTTCAAAAAAAAAAGTTGTCTCGACGCACGTCTCCACGTTTGCAATTTCAACGTTATGGGTCCCCACGATCGCCGTGACAACCAGTTTCCGGAAAAATCCTCGGTCCCAGACCCTAACCACCAACGGCGAGAATTGTATTTTGTTAAGCCACAGGATTTATCGGTCCATGGCAAGACTTCGGAGGTTTTTGGGCTGAAATGGTGAATATGGTGAATATGTCGGTCGTGATTGGAGGGGTCGGGGGAGCTCGTGGGTGCTGCAGGACTGAGGGGAAGGTCCAAGAATATGATATGGATTGTCGGCGAAAGAACCGACTAACAAAACTGTTCCTCACAATGTCGGAGGAATGTCGAGAGTAGTTAAGAAGAAGAAGAACAAGAAGTAGGAACAAAGCGGTTTGAAGAAAGAAGTCGTGAAGCTGAAGGGATGGGCTTGTTGCAATGGGCAACGCAGGTGGGGAGGATCTCCGAATGTACGAGTATTGAGTAATACTGCGGCTCCGATTTTCATGTAATCGGGAACTTTTTAATATTTAAAAAAGGTAAAGATGGGGGAGAGAGTATGTTGTATTAAGAGGTAATCGACGTAATATGGTAGTAATAGAGGTATGTATAGTTAAAACAGCTAGTTCCTTTATAAGCCCTGTATGGTAAAATGCCAATTAAAAAAAGGAATAAAATAGAATAAAAGATATATTTCCTAGATCGGTATGCAATGGGAGTAACCAGAGAGAGTAAAGGATAGACAGTCCCCATGCTCTGGCTAGGGGCCAAATACTTTTTCTCTCTGGTTGCCCGGGCTCCCTTGCCGCAGCAACCCAGCGCCTATCACAGTTCATTTCTCTTATTCCCGTCCAGGGTATACTCCGGCCTATAATGTCTTGGGTTTAGCTTTGTCTCCCCTGCTCTATGGAAGGAGGATTGTCTCTTATATGTTGTACATCAAATTTCCTCTACGGAACTCCAGGCTACTGTTCCATCTTCCTTCTTACGCATCGTATCCACCAAAAAACTTTTTCTTTCCCGTGTCAATGGACCACAGGTGAGCTGAAAGAAAAACGGGACCCAAAGAGATCGAGCCTAGCGCAAAATATCCACTTTCCCTGTTCTCGGGAGAAAAAAATTTAAAGCTTCTGCAAGTGATGGGAAGCAAGTGATGGGAAGCAAGGGTGATACGATTGAACAGTTTCTTCTTTATTGGACTCCAACGTCATGATATGCTTCACTCCAGAAATCCTAATCCCTTTCACTTGGAAAAACTGGATCCATTCTGAATTATAGTGCAATATAGTGCTCGATTGACTCAGCTAGTCCGATAAGAAGCCCTGCGATCGTCTTACCGCGGTATTGATTGGCCGCGTCGGAAAGACCGTGGAATCTCACGATCTCTTCGTCTCCGAACGAAAGAAAAGAGTTCGCACTATCTTGGCCCTATTAGGCGATATCAATAGCTGATCAGAGATTGGAATCCGTCTATGTTGTACGGGGTATGGAGTAACTCCATACAATAGACTAAATTGCCGTTCAATTGCTTCAAGATCGGAACGTACAACGTAGTATCGAGTAAGGAATGGTAGACAATCTCATTCTTCCCTCTTGAAATTGAAGACACTATAGTATTCTGCTCATACATACCCGTGCTGCCCTTACTTGTACCGGCATTCTTGTTGATCAAGGGTTCGCGATGACCTTCAATGTCCCGCATCCCTTCCATCCCCCTTGGTAGGATGTTTGACTTCAATATACATTGATTGCCCAAGGGCAGTTCTATTGAAACCTTCCTGTCTGATGACATTCGATCCGATTCTTATAACCTAACAACGAAGGCAATCGCACCCGGATTGGTGTCGCTCCAGAGTTAGGTCTCCTACTAACAGCAGTAAGGACGAGGTGGGGTCAAAGATATGTGATTGACGCGACCAATTGTGAAGACCATGGTTTGTCAACACCTTAAACAAGTTTATCAACACAGGCCTCGTCGCGTCCCATTCGGGCTATCAGATGCGATATTCCCTATGGAGTACCCAGCAAGATCTCAGATTCGCCACCATCGGCTTTTTTACTTTGTGCAAAGTATATCCGAAGGATGAAACTACGAATCGCTGAACTCAGCTCCAGTCGTCCGGTCATAGTGGACACTCGGCTCAGGATTCACTACTGCACCCCATGTTGTGCTATTCTGGACCCTCTCGTGAAACACCGGAACCTCGAACTTCACTGGGTCATCCTGGTATATCCGGGCAACCCGAGATGCATCAATCTTGGGTCTTTTCAATATTTACAATTGGTTGCCTTCTACTCCGTACATTGTATATGCATTTATCAAAGGCATTGTTACACGCCCTTCCATGGCAGTCGATGCGGTGTACAACTCCACGACGCGTTCGGAGGATTCCATTGGCCCGTGATGCTACGTCATATCGACTAAACATGAGCATAGTCTGTGCTCCGTGCACATGGCTTGCAAATCTGATTTCCTAATAATACTCATAACCTTGGAAGTTAAAAGACTCAGCCAGCCTTGGAAAACTTGAGGCCTTGAGAGGTGCCTTAGATTGCGTCGGCGGTTGTTGTACCGTGTTGTGATATGTTTTGATGTGATCATAACACTCGCATGCATATTCACGAATCAGAAAGCATTATGCTTTCTAGGCGCTTGCAGATGGGAAACTCTCTGGGCTGACTGTATCAGCCCAATTGCCCCGATCTATCTCTCTGCGCCACGCAGAGTCGCAGCTAAGGTGGGGTCAAAGGGGACGATGATGTGACCGGTCAATTGCATCACAGCGCCATGTGGGATGGGGCCAGTCATGTCAGCTCTCCAGCCGGACTGCCTTAGTTGCTGCGGGGTTCATCACATTTCAACTCGTGTCCTGCCAGATTCACCTGCATGGTTAGGGTTGTCTAGGCCTTTTCCCCTCCGTGTCTCAGGAATTTCCCCTCTTATTGTCCAATGTGATGTCACGATCTTGTTGATTGTTGATGGCGCGTGAAGCTTCAGGTAAACAAAGCAAACCAGCTTCCACGAAACTAATGCGTCGTCCCGTGATCGCACATGACATCAAAGAGAAATTTCCAGATCAAGATTTCCGACCTTTCTCAACTGGGATTTGATCTGTATTTTGGTATTATACCTCCCAGTACTGGAAATACCCTTACCCTACATTTCCCCTGGTCTTTTCTATATTTGTCAATTAATCTTCTCCCGGCTCGGAGCCCCCGATCTGCGCCGCTATTGGCAACCCCGGTCATTTATGCGCCAGCGGCTTCGTGCCTGTCAGCTCTCTCAGTCGTGCTATCACTCCCTACTCCCTATTTGGAAGCTGCTGGCTCCCAATATCCCACAACTCTGATTGTGGTCCATATCTGTCAAATGCACCCGCTCAACGTGATAGATCAAGACGCCTACTTAGACGCCGCTGGACTGGTATATTCTTTAACCATATCTTACCGGTCTAGACTTTATTTCGTAGCACAGAATAGCCTATCTTAATCACTATAATAAATTCCTTTTTCTTTTTTTTACTGCATCGAGACCACTTAGGCTAAACCTGTAGTCAACCCTGTCTTTACTTAAACACCGTGTACATTCCCAAATCCCAGTACTCAACCAAATTCCACTCCGAACTTCGGTACAACCTCTTAAGTCGCACAAAGCAGTATAATATGGTGGCAGCGTAATCAGGCAACCCACGAAGCCCCTGAACGCGCAAAATCTGACACCCGACTCACCATCTATCACAACCGTTGCCAGGACTCCCAGGCCCACCAAGACGCCCGACTCCATATTATCAATCCGAGACCCATCCGCCTACATCGAAACCACCTGCGCAATTCCCACGAAATCCATTCCCACATGTTACCAGCACGACGACTACTAAAACTAAAAACTACTTAAACCATGCAGATCCACAGACGATCCCCCATCCGTTCCAACACATCAATTCTGATACAGAGGTAATTTTCTCCCGACTACATAATATTGATTCTGTCAAATGTCAAATGGCCTCGGCCCAGCCAAATTGATAGTTCAATGCATAGTTCCTGCTTTTTCCTATCGACCGACATACCAAGAATGTCGCTTTGTCCGGCATGGTCGTATACAGATCAGTCCGGGGCGGGTCGGTGCATCCGCGAAATCAGCGCAAGCGGAGCCCGGATCCTGAAGCTCGGATCCAGCGTAATTAGCGGGTTCCTCGGCGACATGCGATTGTATAAATGGAAGCTGGTTTCCCGGTTGCCTTTGACAACAGGATATAGTTCTGCGTCTGGACTGGTTTGATGTTGATGGCTCAGCTGGAACTTCGATGATCTCGTTTTTAAGATTCGTCATTACCCCTGAATCACTCCGGACTTCTTTTTCGCCCCGGTTTCTCTGACAGCTTCGAATACACCTTGTTATTTCGTCTATTGAAATGCTAGTTGCATGATTCCATGTCCGATCTGTCGCGTGGTTTTTGAGGTATCTATGCTGCGGCTTCCAGGGGCTACATTTGAGGTACGGAGTAGTCCGTATATTTGGCGATAGTCCAGATCTTGTGGTTTGGGGGGCCGGATTTTTCGCTTGGCTGGGTCGTAGGCTAAGTGTGTAGCATTTGACTTAGTCGTTTCGAATCTTTCTCCAGAGAGCTGTGAGCAGATGAAGGTTCGTTGTGTTGGTCTTGAAGTCATGCTGAGAATGGTCAGATGCTACAATATACATCTACTTGACCTTTCCGCATAACTTCCCACCACCACTCTTGGTTTCCCAACAAGGTCAACAGATCATGAGTTCCAGATCTCCTCCTCAATACTCTAAGAAATGTCCAAATTTAAAGAGGTCGTTTACCCGTTTCAACCCCAGTCTCTTTGGAGCATCAAAATCCTTATCGGCTTATCGGCCCACACTAGTCCGAAATAGGCTAAAGCGTGAATTTTTCTGAGCACTCGAACGGCCGCAAGGAGTATTGAACGTGCCTTTGGTTTGCAGATCTCCGTTGTCAAGGCCTGAGAGCGGATAATTCGATCGTTAATTGAACCTCGCACCTATCTGTCATCCCCAAACCCCCAGACTCAGCAATGGGCCCCCCCTTCGCCGGTTCAAAGCGCCGCCGCGAACCTCACAATGTCGACGTGAAGCTGGTGGAACTCTACGAGGATCTTGCTAGCGAAAAAGATGACATCCGCCTCAAGGCTGCCCAAGCCCTAGTGTCGCAATTCACTCCGGACCAGAACCCCGCCGATGAACAGATCAAGAAGGTGCTGTCGAGACTCTTCCGCGGTCTCTGCAGTAGCCGCAAAGCTGCCCGAATCGGATTCTCAATTGCCTTGACAGAGATTTTGAGTCAGGTCTTCTCGTCGCCGAGAGAGACATCACGCTTCGGCTTCTCGGATGCTCTGAATCTCTGGGAGTCTCAGTCGAGTTCCTACGGCAGCGAGTCGGGACAGGTTGGTGGCTACACATTACTTAAAAGGGTCGCATCGCTAATTAAGATATCCTTTCGTTTCATATAGGAGCAACGCGACCATCTTTTCGGCCGTCTTTTCGGTGCCGAAGCGATCATCAAATCTTCCGTTCTATTCCAGCCCACCGTGCCCTTCGAGCAATGGACCCAGGTTATCGATCTTGTTCTCGAACTCGCACAGAAGAAGCCGTGGATCCGCGAAGAGTGTGGGTGGATTATCTACCAGTGTGTCTACGATCTGGCTGCGCGCAAGATGGAACCCAAGTACATCCAGTCCGCGCTGGAACAGCTATGCGTGCGCGACCTCGCCCGGTCGCCCGAGGGTGTCGCTATCTGGTTGGCGGCGAAGGATATGTTCCCCAACGCTACCTTCCCGAGCAAGATCTGGAAGCATGATGATCCCCTGGATACGAAGGAGCGCAGCAGCATGTCGAAGATCATGAAGGAATCGGGTGCAGCAGCCAGCGAGGGCGAGACCAAGGTGAACACTGCGAAGTCCTCTGGCGTTTGGAACAACAAGCTTCACTTCGCCTGGGATGCGGTTCTGTCTCGGACCAGTATTGAGGCGAAGGATAAGTCGAAGAAGTCCCGTATGACCTTCACTGATTTCTGGACTGAGGTTGTGGACAGTGAGTACCTATCTAACGGTGGAATTATACATGCGACACATGGAACTGACAGAAAAACCTCTTTACAGATGGATTGTTCGCTGCTGCATCCTCGGACGAGCGTAAATACTGGGGCTTCCTTCTTTTCAACAGAATTCTCAATGATGGCGGGTCGCAGCAGGCCTCTCAGATTTTCACCAAGAATCTTATGCGATGCTTGACGAACCAGCTCGCCGTGGAGGACCGGTACTTGCACAGAATGGCTGTTAAAGTGGCCAAGGCGATTCATGCACGTGTATCCAAGGAGCCTGGATTCGCAGCTGCGGCCATCCGTGGCTTGATGGGAACCAGCGGCACGCTGAACTTCGACCAGGCTACAAAGACCAAGACTGTTGAGAAGATTGTTGCCGAAGCCAACCACGAGGCATTGGAAGAGATCGTCCCATTCTTCGAAAAACTTATTCAAAACCCCGGCACAACTGAGGAGAAAACCGCTGCATCCAACCGTCAATTCGTCGCTGGTCTCCTTTTGTCAATTGTGCGCTCCAAGGCGTCTGCCAATGAAGACGATGCCGAAGACCTCCAAGCAAGCCTTGAACAGATTCTTTCCATCTTCGTGCGCTTTGCATACTTCATGGATGCCGGCAACGGTTCCACCGCCCCTGAGCCTCCTCTCTCATCGGCGACACAAGAACTCCTGCGCAATCGAATCAACTCCTGCTTGAACAGCCTTATTTCCAACCAAAAGTTCGCCGCTACGCTCCCGTATGCTGTGGTGAAGCAGATTCGCGATGCAGCCAAGTCTGGCGAGTTCGGCAAGTTCATCATTGCTATTGATGAGAAGCTGTCGGAATCTGTGAAGGCTGCTTTCAAATCTCTCAAGAAGTTGTCTAGCAGGGTATGCCTCCCCCCTCATCAGCCTCTTGGCCACTTATACTGACTATGACATAGGAGAAGAAGGAGAAGGGCATGGCCGCATTCAAGCTGCTTTACTCTATGACTATCATGCAGGTGTACAATGGAGATGCAGACGCGGTATCCATGCTTGATGAGCTGGAGTTCTGTTACACCAAGTTCCTGGGCGACAAGGAAACCAAGACGGAAGACGCCGGCGACGCCTCGGATGCGCTGGTTGAGATCCTTCTCAGTTTCGCATCCAAGCAATCGCAGCTGTTCCGTCGGATGAGTGAGCAGGTGTTTGGGGCATTTGCTAACCAGATCACCGAGAACGGATTGGAATCTTTGACCTCGGTATGCAGCCTCAACCTCTTTCAAACATGCATTTTCTAACTAGACCCAGATTCTTGAGGCCAAGGAGAGTCTTGCTGGACAGCAAGAGATGTTCGAAGAGCAAGAAGATGAAGGGGAGGAAGAAGAAGAAGAAGAAGATGATGACGGTGACGATATCATGGATGTCGACGAGGATGAGCTCGACAGCGATGTTGAGGTTGTCGAAGCCGGCGGCTCCGGCTCCGACTCTGACGACGACGAGGAAGAAGAAGAAGACAACGAAGAAGACGCACAGGAAGTCGCCGCCTTCGAAGCCAAACTAGCCACAGCTCTCGGCACACACCGCGCAGACGAAGACGCGTCCGACTCCGACGCTGACATGAACGACGACGAGATGGACGAGCTAGACGACAAACTGGTGCAAGTATTCCGCGCCCGTCGTCAAGAAACCTCCCACCGCAAAGACAAGAAAGACGCACGCGAGAACATGGTGAACTTCAAGAACCGCGTCCTAGACCTGCTAGAGATCTTCGTGAAGAAAAGCCACACCCGCCCGCTCGCACTAGATATCCTCCTGCCGTTGCTCCGACTATCTCGTCGGACGAGCGTGAAGCAGATCGCCACTAAAGCCAACGGAGTGCTGCGCGAGTACACGAAGGTGTGCAAGGGCAATTCGCTCCCGAAGATCGAGGACGATGCACAGGTGGAGGCGCTCTGGGAGCTGCTCCGGTCTGTTCATAAGGAGGCTAGTCATAGTGGACCTATGGGCCATGCGACTGCCTGCAGCCAGGCTAGTTTGCTTGTTACTAAAGTGCTTGTCGCGCATGATAAGGATGCTATTGTGGGTGTTGTGGATGTTTACGCCGCTACTCGCAAGGATCAGCTCATGAGCACTAAGTGTCATGTGCAGCCGTCGTTCTTTTCGGAGTGGAATAACTGGTGTGTCTCTGCGAGCAAGCAATTGAAGTGAGGTTGAGACCTTTTGTATAGAGATTGCGAGTATGATATGTCGCGAGTTTTCAATGTCAATGCCATTATCATGTTTATTCAAGGATTCTAGGTATTCCGGCGTCAAACCACTATTACGTTTGATCTAGCATTCCCCCTCACGGGTTGTCATGTCAAGATATATCGTCGCATGTAGGTATCAACTAAACATCATCCACTACCAAGGTTGGGAGACATAACTGTCCGATTTACTCCAAGATGTATGACGGAGAGTGAAAGTAAGAAAATATTTCATATTTGCCATTTCAATATTGAGTTTACAATGCCCTATCTTGTAGTTGTATGCTGCCTCATAAGATCACAACAAACCATAAAAACTTCCCTAAAAACCAGTAACATATCGATGCCCAGTCGTCTCCTCCAAAACCTCCAACTTCATCCCAACCTCAATAGCCCCCTCGTTACGCGGCGCACTCAACATCCCAAAGCAGGGCTTATACTTAATCCCCTCATCAACCCTGCGATACGAAACAAGCGTATCCCACGGCTGCTTCTTATTCTTGAGCGCCGTATCTGGGTCAACATTGGGCACCTGGCAGCGTGCACAGCGAGCCACAATATCTAGATCTAGCGGAGACTGGATAACAGGCTCGCCATCACCAGCAGAATCACCAGAAGTACCGTCAGCCTTCAGACCAGTAATGCGAACCACCTTCCACGAATCCTCACTCCACGGCGCCTTTCCACGAACAACAATATTGGGACGGAACCGCTCGATAGTAATCGGGTCCACGCCCACTCTTCCAAGACGAACATTGAGCTCTGCCAGCGAAGACTCCGACGCAATCTGGACAGGATGCACGTCCGGGAAGCCGGTCGTCTGAACGCGGCCCAGACGGTGTGGGGCGCCGTTACCCTTCAGCACGCGCGGGGTCGGGCCCTTATAGACGAGGGCGACGTCGCGGTGCAAGAAGGCAGAGAAGGAGGCGTTGATTTCATCGCTGTACCTGTACCCGTCTGTCTCTGTGTCCCAGATGTGGACGGGGCCAATATTTGTATTTGCCGCTAGCCATTGCGGGGATGGATGGGAAGGGATGCGGATTGTGTGGAATTCATGGTCTTGACCTTGGTCTTGGGTGGTTTCATTGGTTTCGGGTTTTGGGATACTCACGACCAACTCGTCGCCGTCGGGACTTAGGGCGGTGCGGATGCGAGTCATGTCGGGGATTTGGCGAATTGTTAGGAAGGTATTTGATGATGCGTCGATGAGCATCCAGCAGTGGTCGAGGTCAAGACCATGCTGTTTTAAGACCGTTGATTGGACTTCTACACCTCGACAGGATTTTATGGGGTATATGCGTAGCGAGATGATCTCCGTGGATTGTTTGGGGCGCTGGCGCCATAGGCGGAGAAGTTTGGTTGGGGATTGGTCTGATTTGCGCCATCCTGTGAAGCGCGGAATCAGGATGATTGGAATTAGGAGTATAAGGCCTAATATTACTGCCGACGCCATGTTGTGCGACTGAAACATGTTTGCTGTTTGATGTTTACCTAAATAGGGTGGGTTCCAATGTTAGTGGAACCTCCGAAGTATTGGGCCACACTTTGTACCCAGATATACCGCCCTATACACCGCCTGCCTGTTAAAATACTGCCAATATCGATGTTGGACACGCTAACTACATATGTATATACTCTACCAACTTGTCTGTATCTAAACGCCAGTTATACCACACACTAAATTGCACCTGCTGGAGCCCACTGGAACCTAAGCTTGACATACCTATATACCTGTGCACAAAGCTAAGCGAGCTGCAGATCCGCGCGTATTTAACCGGCAGAAGGGGCAAAACTATAAGGCGGTAAATACGGGTACAAAGTTTGGCCAAATACTTCGGAGGCTCCAATGTATACTCCGTACAGGCGCCGCCTCTCATATTCTTACGTCCTTATTTTGAGGGGCACTTTCAGTTTGCTGTTATAGTATTCTGTTCATATACTGCGTCTTATTTATTTCCTGTATATGATAGCTGATTTAGGTCCAATGATAGAAGAACTCAGAACTATGATTAGACACAAGGTACCTGGGGGATGCCACATGTAAACGCCTCATGTACAAATATATGTATAAGTCCAGGAAAAGCAACTGTTGAAGTTAAATGCGGGATAATAATGATCAAAAAAAACCCCCCCAAAACAACATGCACCTACGTAGACCCCCCAAGGGGTATATTGTCAGAGACAAAGCTGACTGCGATGCTGCAGTCTGGTTATGCCGAAGGCTTCTTATCAAACCAACACGCGACCATTGCCTTAATTAGGGCGAGTGCGACAACCCGGCCTTGCTCAATATTCGCATCCTCAGATCCCCCAGGGACATGGAGGAACAGGACATTGCGATCCTGGCCTTGTAATTGGGCCAAAGACATGCTGGTGTAGAAAATGAAGTCGCACAGATAGTGACCTGCGTCCTTGGAGATCCGGAGATCCGACTCAGGAGCAAACGAGCGCCACGTCTCCAGGAACTGGTCGTCGGGCTGGTAAGGCGAAGCGGAGGAGGGATCATCTGTAGCACGACCTGGGATCAGAATCGGCGGCAGCCCCAACCCTTTCCATCGCTTCTCACCGTCCACATAGCCCGGGCGACCATTGATATCGGTGATGTTATAGTCATCTCGGTGAGCTAAACTTTCGACGGAGTAATACTGCCGCGGAGCTGCGATGCCAATATGAATAACGAGATCAGGTCTGCGACCACCATGAGTGGCAGCAAACTCCTCCAGAATTAAGGGAAGGGCCTCTCGAACAGTGGCATACGCCACTGGGATCGGAGTGGGATGCACATGGAGGGAGACTCGACGTGGGTCCGAGTCATGGTCTTTAGGCGACGGGAAAAGGAAAGACGATGGAAGAGAAGAAGCGATCAGATATGACGCATTCACAAGGTTGGTCTTGAAGGGCTGGTTACACTGTTAGTTTCGGCTCGGATACTAGCAACATCCGAAGCGCAGATCACTTACCCCAAAGCCTGTTATCAGGACGGATATCTCATTAAGCGAAGCCGAGGGCTGTGGCGGGCTGTTGCCGACAGGGGTGGGGGTTATATATGGAGCAGCAGTGCCGTAGTCACCCATATTCACGGTTAATCTCGAGGTGAAGTTGAGGAGAAGACGACTTTTAAGCGGGGAAGTTGAACCATGGAAGGGCATTGAGATGAATGCGGGGTCTTGGCGGAATGCAACCCATGGATTCTACTAGCCTAATTCCGTTAAGCTATATAAGTGACCAGTTATGGCTTCATGTTTTAGGCTTAACATATTTGCAGCTCGTTCGCTTGTTAGCTTTTTATGCTATTAGTGCTATTTCATAGATTTTATCCGGTCCCCAAAAGAAAATCTCTTCTGGGGCTGGGTTAGCGAGACTTTTTTATTCCTGTACCACGGAGGACAGAGCTGGTTTCCCCTCTGATGATTCTACCGTTTAACTTGCAGGATTTGCAGGCCTCTACGGAATATTATCATTGGCACGGTTATAGATTGAAAAACATCTGCATACGCAAGTGGATCCAGCCGGAATAGAAACGCCGCTCAAGAATTGCCTGTTCGGGGAAGGATCGCTTAATTTGGCTCTCGTTCTCGCCTTCCAGGCTGAGTATACATCGATGCAGGCCAAGAATATTATTTCTCGGAGCTTTGACATTCTGGTGGAAGAAGTTGGTTAGCGTAGACCTTATTGGACCTGTCGCTTTTCAATATTGCTTGGCTTTGGTTCAGTTCGGTTCAACTTGACAGCACTTGATACTTACGTGGGTCCCCCCTTGTTCGAATATACAGTCCATGGTCGGTTGGGGGAAAAAATGGAGTCTCCCTGACTGGCTGATGGCTCGGGAACTATTATAAACGAGAAAGTCCTCGGAGAATATCAGGTTCCAGGAATCTGGGTTGTCGCTTCTATTGTCCCTCCTCGCCCCAATTTTCAGTCTTGACCTTGACTATGGCAGTCGTCAGTGAATTGCTCAACAGTCCCTATGTTGTACAGAGTGTGTGCATTGCCCTAGTGGCGGTGTTCATAACAAGTGTTTGGGCAGATATAGCCAACGAGATTCCCTATAGACGCATTCCTTTGGTTGGAAAGACCTGGTGGGAGCTTACCAACAAAAAGGCCAGGCAACGCTTCACTCGGTCATCTCGTCAACTAATTGCCGACGGCTTTGCAAAAGTGAGTCTTAACAGGAATGGATGACAGTGTTATCTGCCCTCAAATATGTTAACTGGCCTTCGCAGGGCGTCAATGTCTTTCAGATCATCGGAGCCACAAGCCCGATGGTTGTATTGCACCCGAAGTTTGTTGATGAAATTAAGAATAACTCAGATCTGAGTTTTGAAGACTCCATCAAAAAGGCAGGTTATGAAACCGGAAATAATACGTGACCATGGCTAACTTGCTGATAGACATTCTTTGATAATCGCATTCCTGGGTTTGACCCATTTCATAATGGCACTGCTTTAAAAGCTACTGTGGAGATCGTACGGACTAGTTTGACCCAGGCGCTCGGTATGCATGACTTGATACATCTCACCCGACAGACATAATTGACATATCTTTCTGATTTAAACAGGGTCCATTTCACTTCGGCTCTCAAAGGAGTCAGGCGCGATATTGAAGGAATCCTTGCCCGCCACCGATGGTATGCTAAAGCACCCCATTTGCAGCCCTCTCACTGACGCTTCCTCTCTCAGCACAATGGAAGCCCTACCATTTCGCGCATAAGATCCCGTATATGGTAGCCCACCTCTCCTCTCTGATATTTGTTGGAGAGACCATCTCCCACGACGAGGAGTGGATTGATGTTTCTGTGAACTATGCCATCGATGCGTTTATGGCAATGCGCGACCTACGAGAATGGCCATCCATTCTCCATCCGGTCGTACACTGGTTCTTGCCCTCTACCCAGAAGCTACGCAAGCACTTGAAAATGGCTCGCTCCATCATCAGCCGCGAGATAGACAGGCGGGCGTTGAT